ATATTCAATAAACTGTTCGACACATTACAATATAGTTTAGGTCACCAAAGCATGTATATGCTCGAGCCGCCTTATCATCTTTTCACAGAAAAGGCCATGTGTATAGGGGAAGAGAATTAAAAGATCGCACGGAAGCAGGTAAAAATACCAGGAGGCACCAGAGATGGCTGGTGAGAAGTCAGTAGCTAAAGACTATAAACTGACATCCACGGGATAAAACTGACTGGAACTGGGGACGGTAATGGGTTCACTTTAAAAGAAGGATCTTCAGAGGCCACCCGAAGGACATTAAACGCAGATGAAATAAATGTTGCTTTCGACGCCGGTGCATTTGGAGACTTACTTCCCAAAGATAGGATGACCAATTGTGCGTCCATAAAATGAGATAACTAAGACTGGTGCAAATGTGTACACATGCCAAAATGCGCTTGTCATGGCCACGGATGAACAGCTTGAGTACAGTGCGTTTACTAAGTGATTCGGTAGCAACAGAAACACACGTGTAGGATGTATCATTATCGTCATTATACACGGTCAGCTAGAGGTGGGAAACACCTAAACTACAGTGTTCGCAATACATATAAGAAAAAGGCGAAAAAATACAACTGGTGCAAGCCGGCTGAGCTACCGGTAACAGATGGGCATCATTCAGGTAAGCTACCAGCCGGCTACTGTGCATCAAAAAAAATTGATATGCAGAAGTATATAAAGCTAAATAGTGAGATCGTGGTTGGAGTGGGAGGCTAAGAGGGATGGGGTGGGACAAAGAAACTCACAGCACGAACGCCACTGAGGTCGGCTCCTAGCCATATCAGCAAGTGTATCCAGCCAAACGTGTTCATCGTCTTTCGGACCCCAACCAGAGAGCCGAGACGCTCCAACCGAGGCCAGCTTCGAAGTGAGGGCCTTCATTCCTCTCGACCAAGTCATCGCTTGGCCACCCTCCTCTTCTTCCATCCACACCCCGGCGCGCAAACAACGCACGTCGCGAGAGTCGGTGGGCTGGCATGCGTAACACGTGGCCGAGCCATCGGAGCCTGGTGCGTGAAATAACGGTGCTGAGCGGTTCATTTCCTTTTCCTGTGCCGTAAACAAGGCGTCGAACACGCTCGTTGCTCACGCGGTGTTCCCACCAGATGTGAGCTAAATTGCGAAGGCACCGGTGGTCGAACGTAACTAACCTCTTCAGGTCCGCTGCTTTAAGTGGCCAGGTTTCACAACCGTACAGTAGGGTCGGACGTTCAAAGAACCGGATTTGATAATAAGCAGAAGGTTTAGACCTACAGTCCAAAGGCTGACTGTTTAGGCATTGTAATTTGCTTGAGCTAACAGCTGAGTAAAAGGAATGGATTGGGTGGTGTTGTCGAATGTCTTGCTGGCTGTCTAAGCCCGGCCAGTATGGGGACCATCAACAGGCGGATTTGGGGCCGAGAGCGAATAAAAATCCAACTTTCCCTTAAGCACTAGCATGAACTTACGTGTTCTAACATTATACAGTGAAAAACCTGAGATCTTCCTATCCCTAATGTGTCACCTGAAATAACACTTTGAACAATAACTTGATTATTCTCCTAGTTACATCTCACTTGTTGCGATTATCGTCCCACTTTGTCACGAATAATACACCAAGCACTCGTTGATGAAGCTTTTATGTTGAATTATAACACACGTAGTTTAAAATTAAGCCTTTCGTGGCAGGTAATTAGTTACAGTCGTGCCAACATCTGTCTCTTAAATGTAGCACGCGGTGTGTATCCCCCGCCCCCCCCGGTGAGTTGTGAAAATGGATGACTAAGAACCCGAGGGTCCATAATCGCAAGAACATTTGAACAACAGTATTAAAAACTCATTTTATAGTTTTTACAATAACAAACTGAACTCAGCTAGCTAATATGAAGGTGAATGTATGGAAGAAGATGAAGCCCATTCTGAGGTAGATATAGAACAACGGCACTGGGTTAAAGCTCTTTATACGGTTTTCTCAATGGAGGACGGGGACACCATAAAATACGAATTAAAATAAACACGACAGACAAATTACGGAAAAGATTTTACGGAATAATCAAAAGTAAGTCAGCTGGTACTTCATATTCGCATAATCTTACTATTCTGCTGAGTCATTTAACTGATATTCTCCCGATCGATTGAAGCATTCTTGAACTCCTCGATCTTGCCATAAACTGTGTTAAGGCCCCAGACACTTCGGGGGATAAATTTTGAAATTCGTTCTGATCACTGCACGTAAAAACAGCAATCGTGCGTCCTCCTTTGATAAACATGGAAAACCGGGCATTAAAAAATGACCAGTATGTTTGAAGTGAAAACAAGCAAAATACAAGATCAAAGCATTGCATCGAAGATGAATTCAAAGAGGACAAGTTATGTTCGAAGTATGTTTCGTAAGCTACTTCATTTATTTGCGTTCTTATTTCCCCATACACTGTATTTTATTAGCCCACCTAAACAGAAATATCCATTAATCAGAACGTTTCGATGTTTTCGAAGCGATTAGCAATCCCAGGGGGATTGCCTATCTTTAAATCAAACTTAAACTGGTAGGAGCCTCGCTGGAGACCAAACCACAGCATTTGCTGACTCCACAACTGCCAAAAATACTACATTTCTTCTGCTTATAAGTGTAAAACGAAATTATGATCGCTAAGGTGTGTGCGGATAAATTGTGGCGCCAATACCACGCAGCTTACTGGTAACATATGCTCATGACAAAAGCATTCAAGTTAGGCAGTCTAAGTATGCAAGAACTTCTTTCAGACCATCACCTTTACTCCAAGCATGGTAGCAGCCTCAGAGAAAGATACTGCGTTGTTTTTCCCATACGTTGTTGAACTGTTAGCATTATTTGTGTTGGAAAATCTTGCTAAATTAACATCAATGACCACAGAAATATCTGCAGTCCTAGCATTCCAGCTACCTATCGATCAATACGATTCACTGAGTAGATTGCCAAAGCTAAAACTAACTGTATTACCCTAACCATCTCATTGAACTGATCCGCGTTACTTGTTTTAAAATAGCGTAATGAAATCAAATAACTTCCAGAAACACGATCTTAAGGATTTAATAGTAAACATCTTAGATGCTTGCAGTGAAGAGGTGTGTTTTAGGCCCAGTAATTTAACACTTTTCCAAATAGTAGATCATAGTATATCAACGAAAAGTAGTTTTGTTGTCTTCCGTCTTCTGCTATGTGTTTGCTTTCAATGAAACTCTTTACTTGTTCAAACTTTTCTTCATATGAAGTCCACGATTATGACACATTGGATTTGAGGTTTTAAGTTCATGTGAGTGAATCGAATAAGAGGAAAGATCAATTTCAAATTTGGACTTGGAGAATCCGCTGTGTATTTGTGTTGCTACAAGCCACCTCTATTGTGACTTCGATTCACTTGAGGTGGACCTCGGTCATTCCGATCACAAGGACCGTAGGTAAAATGGAAATATTATGGTGTTGCTCATCACAACACTGGCACCCAACGACCGTGGTTTCGTCCAGGTTTGGAATCATCAGGTGGAGATAACCTGAGCTGGCTGGAACTCAGAGTCTAATGGCTCATGTTTGACGCCATAAGATCAGTTTATTCGGATGTTGCTAAATTTTATGGTTATAACCGTATTACTCCGAGACAGCCTAGGTTTAATCAGCTGCCAGCGGTTGGGGTGTCAGTTTGGGCACTTTCTTTGGTCAGTTTTTTATGAGCTCATAGTGACGGCCTAAATTGCAGCACAAAGAAATAAATCCCGCTAAACTAACGTCTTAAAGCTTAGTTAATAAGGTTGTAAACCTAATCAAGTTATCATATTTACTGTGATAGTGTTTGAATTCCTAATTCATGCATGTTAAGTTGCCTATGAACAAGAGGTGGAATGACCGGCTTCATATTCATGTTGACGAAGACACACAGGACGTCCTAAGAAATGACTATGTGGATGAAATGTATCCTTCAGTTAGACCAATAATTCACATATTTTTAATTACTGCGTATTTCATGGTCAAAAGAAAGCGTTTTAAGACCAAGTATATATCCTTAAAAACACGACCGCAAAATGGATCAACCGGGTTCATCATATTTGTAGCCCTTGTAACACGTCTAATCCAAATGCGCAACATGAGAGCCAAATACTGGATCAATAAACTGATCTTAGAAACTTTTAAGTACTATCGCTTTCTATCTGTTCAAAATTCAACTTTCTGATATAAAAACTACAGCTAGAAGCAATCCCTTACCTTTTTATTTCTGACAATTTACGGTTAAGTAAATATATTTAATAAACTACTTCGCGGTAATTTGCACACAAAAGGGAAAAAGCGCTTTATGTATGCACAGCCTTACTTGGAAGCACCGCAGTGGTAGTAACCTCACGCAGAAACTGAGATTCTACGGCATCTGGTATGAATCGTTCAGAGGAAATGGAAGTCACGGTATGACAAATGGATTCATCATTTTATCCTAGGATTCAGTTTAGTGCATTAGAAGAAATACTCTAAAGTTAAGTATTAGGATACCGATTACTTTCAACCAGAAAATGCATATTGAGGCATATCTATAAAAGTATTACTAGCCTACTAATCACTATTCAAGATTAAAAATATGGTGGAAAACCAATATGGATTACAGATTATATCGTTTTCACTAATGTATTTAATTGTACTGCACGACTAATTTGCTCACAACAACTCATTCAGCAAATTGAAGCTTCTGCCTCAAACATAAAGCTTGCGTTGCCTATGTAGATATGGTTCAAACTGATATATCTATTTGCACTCGGTTTTTTTTAATACTGCTAGACCTGTGTTTAAACGAAAGACAAACTAACACAACAACCGCAGTACACAGTCAGCTTCCCCGCCCCACAAAACCGAGGGTGAGTGGAGTTTGTAGTTTGTGCCTTTACAACTAAAATAACGAATCGTACATATACGTATATATATAAATAGAAGTATAGACATAAGATTGACAAGGTGATTGTTTGCGATCTTGTAAATGCACAATAACAAACCGGGGCATTTATGAAAAGTTTCTAAGTACATTTGTTATGCTTAATCACCATTGTTTTAGACAAACCGTCTTAACCTGAATAGAAATAAACTACTCGCTTAATCCACTTATGGCTTCCAGCATCAAGGGCATTATAATAAAAGTCGTTAACAGCTTTTTCAGTTAACAATACTAATGTCACATCACAATTGGGATCTTTGATAATGCTATACCTTACAAGATTTAAAGTTGGTATATACGGAGTTAACTGTGATTTGAATGACGCGTGGATGAAGCCATTTCTCGTTGTAATGCTCATTTCTTTTTCAAGCCTACACTTGACTTAGTAGTCCAATTTTTTCTATATAGTGCAGTATAATAAGCAAATTAGATCCATCTACTACACAGGTACAAGAAAAACTTGTAATGTTTAAGGGTATCAGAACAAAGCTACTAGATTTTCACTGTTACCTGTGAATTCTCCTCTCTACATCATAACTAATTGGACCTAAAATTAATGAACCACTACATGAAACAAGGTTTGATGATAAACTTTTTAACAATGCCTTAAAATTTTTGTATAACATTCCTTATTTAGTCTTATCAAGTAAATGGGTATCACGATAAATATAATTGACTTAGTGAACACGTATAGTATTCCTAATATACATTGTTATAGAATAATATAAGAACTGAGTAATGTCCATTTGGTTCCAAAAACATTTTGAATGTGTTGTAACTTCTGGACGCCCGTTAACGTGGTAAGTGTTTCAGGAAAATACTGACCATTGCTACCCAAAATCTTTCAATAAACCACCACTGGTACACTTTCCAGTGGCTTAATAGTCTCAATAGTTCTCTTACATGTTGCTATATACCTACAGTACGGTTTTGGGAGACACCGAATTAGATAGAGATAGTTAAGGAATTCCGGTAATCTTGCTAATTTTACTTGTAACGTCTTGGCGTACTTGTTATATTGCTATCCTTATCGGATAATATGGGGATTACGGCGGCAAGCACGATAAGTAAATTATTTCTATCGGCTTCTGTAGCTAACTTTAAATATGATTAAATGATAAAGGAAGAGCTCAGATTACTTTCGGATTTACCACAATACCTAATGCACTGAACGTCACATCTTAATTTAGAAAACCTTTTTGTTAACAACGTTCACGCTAATCTTGACCTGTCATCAACCACATCAGATATAAAATGGTCATTAGTTTGCACAAATGACATAATGGATGTTTCAGCTAGCAGATATTCAGAAATCTGACAGAAGTAATCCGTGAAGCTCACAAGTTTAAAATTTACATAATCCGTGGTTTTCGTACCGCTTATACGAACGGGGAATACTGAATTACACATTATGGGAGAAAGTAGAAGTTTAAACCTGTGCAACACTATCAAAATATCCTCAAAAGTTTATACATAAAAACTATCTACGACCTGACGACACCATGATCGTTCTTCAAGTTTTCACCTACTATTATAAAATAACGTGTAGCTGACAGCAAATTCAGGCTTTCAAATGTAAGATGTCAATGGATGCTCGTTTTTGGAATTCTACACTTTCCAACCTACATGCAACCGTGATTTGAGCGGTTGCAATCAGTGTGCTTCTAATATATGCTGAATACTGGCTGGTGAAAATAGTGTGCTAGTATATGCACCTTTGTGTCACACGGTCGTAATTGGATCGGGCACTTACGCTGAGAAATGTCACTGGTATACACGATTGCGCGACATGTTACTTCTGTGCCGTAGGATATTCAGGAGCAGCGCCATCCCTGTATCAGAAATTTGCAAATGGGGTGTCTGGTAAATGTTTGAATTCCGCCATCAATTTTGCCTCGTTTAATTTCTAGAGCAAATAGTTTTAATTTCACCACCCACCGCTCCAAGCATGGAGAAGCATAGAGCTTTTCTGCGGTACCACAGACTTGCACCGGTGGCAGGGAATGAAGCTTGGTGTGCACAAGTGCAACAGTGGCTTTAGCTTGGAGAAGTAACAGATGCTATCTCTAGGTTGTGATAATGAGGATCACTCGGAACTAACCACCTGATTTGGTGTACAGCCCTATTAATGTGTATCAGTCTCCGTACTACATACCTCGTAACTTGGGGATGAGTCTGGCGGCTATATACCAAACCCGTTGCAGTCTTTGCACACCACTACTGATGATTAGTTAATAAGCTGGTGGTCCATACTCGAGCACCGGTTTTATCATAGAAAAGAAGAAGCGAGTGGTAATCTCTTCCGAAC